TATATATACTGCATAAGCAACAATTTCTAGACGACCAATATTTCCTGTCGCCCAACAAGCATATCGCTTCAATCAGTCATGCCAAACATCTCAGTCAGTTATCATTTTTGTTTTTGGTATCAGCGTTAGCTCATTTCTTCATTGATCTGACTGCGCGCTAAAAGTGTCATAATGTATACACATACCTTTTTCGATGGTAACTGGCCATCTGTTAGCGCACAGAGACGTGGCCCTTGTTGTCAGATGCTTCGTCACGTCTGCACATGTTCAAAGCGTCGTTCGCGTATGGGAACCCAATACGTTCACACGTAGGCAAAATACTCCTAAGCTGATAACCGCATATAATATATTGGTCAAACTGTTTCTGTTAATGGCCACACAAGGAGCTTCCTTTTTCTCAGTAAGATACTTGTAAAACATTGACGATGACCCCTTTGGGCTTCCCCTTCCAGCGCCATTATTTTCCCCATAAGAGAAAAACTAACGAGCCATTAACGGCGCATGGAAGCACAAGTTTCCAACAAACTTTGTTACATATATGCAACAAGGCATATATTAGTGGGTGTGCTTATCCGGTCCATCATATCTTTCTATGTACCAATAAATTCATCTAATCTCAATATATACATATATAAGTGACCAATTCTTGTAGTAGGATACAAAATAACAGTAAAATACGAGCGTGTATATACTCGCAAGCATGTATAAAATCAGAATCACGTAATATGATTACATCATGGTTGTTGCAGTAACTTTTTTATTCATACACTACCCAAACAGTTCATAGTAGTTCATCTTATAAGTCCAAGGGACACCTTTCAGCAGATAGACAACGTCGCCACCCCAGCCAAAACGCCGACTGCCGGAACAACCAGGAACTCTCTCCGCTTACAACAGGCCACGGTAGTTGAACCCAAACCCCCGAGCCGGGCGAGCTTCAGTGATAGTACTCATTCTTTCATTGAGCTCACGCTGATCAGCTCTTTCGCTGACTCCAGCAACTATGCTACTCACCGGCCAAGCAAAATTGTCCTATCTCACCAACTGTTCTACTACTGATGCTACTATTACTACAACTGCTAACTTTCACTGCGCCATCTTCGCCGCTCTTCTTCTCTATATCGCCAGGGCGCAAGCGGTGCGGCCCTCCGCGCGATAAGGAAAAGTGTCCGCCTATAAACTCATCTTTAATTCCAGTCTAAGTATTCCTGGTCTATCACTGTAGTTGGAGATAGAAACCCCTTTCAACCCGCCTTGGGGCCGGACCGCCCGCTCGCTATAGCCTTCTATCGTCATAAGTATAATAAACAGGTTGTCCGTATCTCTTCCAACATCCTATGCCAACGCCTATCTCCTTTTTAAGTGTGCAGCGCGCACACTCGGTACACGTGGTCATAGTTGTAAGAAGCATAATAGTGATGTCCATTTGAAATCCTACGGGAACGGAAGATCTTCTATTAACCGACAAATGTCTTACCAGATCAAATTGTTTCTCAAGTAACTCTGGCACTTTGTCATTTTCTTCACAGTGCATGAGCGTATGTGTATATACTTATTTGACAGCGTTAGAATAAAAATCAAAGTCACTCAAATGATCCTCATGTGTGCGTAAATGGTTGTCTGCAAAAAAAAAAAAAAGAAAAAGGGAGTACATCTTCGAATGCGAAGTCCATGACGGCTGTCATTTTCTTTGGCTGGTCAGACAAATCCGTCAATTTAGTCAGGCGGCATTTCAGGATCTTCCATGGTTTTTATCATTCATTGTGGCGTAATTTTAGGCTCAGTACTTACCTTCGTTAGTGGCCTGTTTATATTTTACTTCGATCGACGTTATCATAATGGGCGATATCGGTTTCGGATAGTCTGCTTCGTGGCTCTAACTACTATAATTTTCTGAGCCTCTCGCCTTGCGCTCTTCTCCTAACTGCCTGTTTTATCGCACCTTTAACGTTTTTCTTCTGGGGACTGAAAAGGGAAACATGTTGCACTTCAACGACGCAATGTCTGTCTATAAAAAAAAACCGCATTGTATTGATGCTATGCCAGACGCTGCTACTGCTCCATTTTCTACACTGCAGAGTTTCAACCTATCTTTGCCATAACCTGAGTATGTTTACAATTGTAGTTATTAGCACCTTAACTATTATTTTATACAACATCCTAGTTAAGTTACTTATTCGCCTTCTTATTGAATGGATTCCATTTACAAAGCACTGGTCACACATCTGACTGGGTGACATTCTGCTCGCAGAAATTGGAACAACATTTGTCCTTTTGCTAGCCATATTATAATAATCGCCCATGCTTGCAATAGCGATAACGACGACGACGACGACGACGATGACGATGATGATGATGATGATGATGTGACGTAAGACGGATAGTCTACTTCTTGAACAAGAAGAACAGCAATTACTACGACTACAAGAACTCGTATTCCACTCGTTACACACTCATCTTTTTTGGTGGAGGCGCGCCTGTTGTTTCGGGTCACGCACTTGTTTATGGTGAATGCTGCTTGTTCAATTGCTTTTCCAGATGCTTTGTTATTTGTCTTTCATTTGCGATTCAAGCAGCAGTTGTGGTACCGCAGCTGGGTGTACATGTTGTCGGTATTGTGCATGTTCTGTGCCAGAGTCTGAGGCGGGTTTGTACCGCCGCTCCGTTTGGGCATATAATCTAATTGGGTCTACTCCTCTGTATCGCGTGGCAATCGACACATTACCGTCCATCCCGCAGATGAAGAGGCTGATGGCGGAATCCCGATGCAAGATCGTTCGGACGCCGCAACCTCGCCTACCAAGGACAAAGCAGGAGACGACGAATCGGGTCACAGGAAAGAGAAATCCGTGCTTCAGGCGAAACTTACCAAGCTAGCTATCCAAATTGGATATGTCGGTAAGTACGTGAAATATCCTTAACTATCTGTTTAGTATATGCTAACTGTACTAACTATTCTGTATTTATAAATTTATGTCATCTTGCGTGTGTGCATTTTTGGTCAGTTGCCACATTAGAACTTTTTAATTTCAATATTGGTAAACTCGAATGAAACACCTAAGAAAAAGTGGAACCACTTTAGTAAGTAATTTTTTTTATATTTGATCACGTATCATAGTCACCATTATGTTTTCTAATTTTCTTTTGCTTTTTTTTTTACGTTCTGTTTAGGTTCTGCTATCGCTGTGCTGACCGTGCTGATCCTCGTGGTACGGCACTTAATTCAGGTGTTCGCAGTGGAAGGGCGGGCGTGGAAAAACTCTGATACTCAGCACATGGTAAACTGCTTTATCATCGGCGTTACCGTGCTCGTCGTAGCAGTACCCGAAGGCTTGCCACTGGCGGTCACACTATCATTGGCGTATTCGGTTAAAAAAATGATGAAAGATAACAATCTCGTGCGACATCTAGATGCTTGCGAAACTATGGGCAATGCAACCGCCATCTGTTCTGACAAAACTGGAACACTGACAACCAATCGTATGACCTGCGTACAGAGTTACGTAGGTGGCGTCCACTACAAGAGCACACCGAAGTACTCAGACCTTCCGCAGGCCGCGGCAGAGAAGATCGTCAACGGTATTTCAGTCAATAGCGCATATACGACACGAATCATGCCTCCAGAACAGCCTGGCGAGCAGCCCAAACAGGTGGGCAACAAAACCGAGTGCGCGCTGCTTGGCTACGTCATGGATATTGGCAAAGACTATCAGCGCGTGCGGGACGAAATTCCCGAGGAGCAGCTGTATAAGGTCTATACCTTTAATTCGGTGCGCAAATCGATGAGCACCGTTATTAAGCTACCGAACGGCGGCTTCCGCGTCTACACAAAAGGCGCATCGGAAATTGTGCTTAAAAAGTGCACCAGCATTCTCGGCCCTAACGCAAAGCTGTTGCGCTTTCAGCCGGAAGATCAGGAAAAGCTGGTGCACGATGTCATTGAGCCCATGGCTTCCAATGGGTTACGGACTATTGGCCTCGCCTTTAAAGATTATATCCCCGAGGGTGTCGAGAAGGTTGACAATTCCCAAGCAGTCTTTACCGAAGAGCCTAACTGGGACGACGAGGATAACATAATCAGCGGTCTCACCGCCGTCGCTATTTTCGGTATTGAAGATCCCGTAAGACCTGAGGTGAGATTTTGGTATTAATTTTCAAGCAAGCAATTGAATTTTCTCAGGAAAAAAGTTCTATCTGGTCTTGAAAAATGCCGCACCAGAGCAATATCATTAAACTGTAATTTCTTGCAAAATACTAGCGACCAATCATCAGTGAATTCCTTTTTATACAAGTTCATTGTTATTCCGTCATTTTGCTGACGCTGCAAGAGATTATTTAAAAAAATTAAAAAAAAAAAAAGTATTTCTTTGCGCAGACCATAGAACTAAATCGAATATACAAACGAACATGCCGATATCGATTTGACTACTCCTATCGCAGGTACCTGAGGCAATCCGTAAATGCCAACGAGCTGGCATCACAGTCCGTATGGTAACGGGAGACAATGTGAACACAGCTCGTTCAATCGCGCTCAAATGTGGCATCATCAAGCCAACTGACGACTATCTCGTGCTCGAGGGAAAGGAGTTCAACAGGCGGATACGCGACGCTAACGGCGATATTCAGCAGCATCTGATTGACAAGGTCTGGCCGCGGTTACGGGTTTTGGCACGTTCCTCGCCCACGGACAAATATAATTTAGTCAAGGGAATCATCGACAGTACGGTTAGCGATAACCGTGAAGTGGTCGCTGTCACCGGGGACGGCACGAACGATGGTCCTGCACTTAAAAAAGCCGACGTAGGATTTGCTATGGGCATTGCAGGCACTGACGTCGCTAAGGAGGCCTCCGACATTATCCTAACGGACGATAACTTTACATCAATTGTGAAAGCCGTCATGTGGGGCCGAAACGTCTACGACTCAATTGCCAAGTTCCTCCAGTTTCAGCTGACAGTAAACACGGTCGCTGTCATTGTGGCGTTCACCGGAGCCTGCGCAATCCAAGACAGCCCGCTAAAGGCAGTGCAGATGTTGTGGGTAAACTTGATCATGGACACCCTTGCATCACTAGCGCTTGCCACCGAGCTGCCAACCCCAAACCTTCTGTTACGTAAGCCGTATGGGCGTACGAAGCCCCTTATTTCACGCACCATGATGAAAAACATTCTCGGCCATGCCGTCTACCAACTATTTGTCATCTTCACACTACTGTTTTTTGGACCAAATATCTTTGGCTATGAAACTGGAATGGGCGTCCGCGTATCCGAGCACTTCACTATGATCTTTAATACCTTCGTGATGATGACACTGTTTAACGAAATCAACGCCAGAAAGATTCACGGCGAGCGCAACATCTTTGAAGGCTTATTCACAAATCCAATCTTCTACAGTATCCTCGTAATCACTGCTGTGGCCCAGGTGATCATCGTGCAGTATGGCAGTGTCTTCTTCCAGACCAAGGAGCTTTCGATTGACCAGTGGCTGTGGTGCGTCTTCTTCGGCTGTGGCACCCTCGTGTGGGGGCAATTTATTACTTCGATCCCCACGAAGCGCATTCCTAAGGTGAGTCCACGGTTTCAATTGTTAATACCGCAAATTGCTTGTTGCCATAACAAATACCTAGCTGCCATTTCTACCATGTCGCTTGTCGGTCAGATTGAACGACGGATTCGTAACCAGCCTTTACCGATACTATGCCATTGTACGTTTGAGAATTTTTTGTCTAGCATTCAAATTAGGCTAACATGAAAAACGGTAGCAGCACAAGTGTACTGTTAAGAAATTAGGCCACATGTTTTTTTATTAGTACTAATAGTTATTTACAACACAGACAGGAACTTGGCCCGTCATATTGTATAGTTGACATACTATTCAGCGTTACTTGTAATAGTGAACGGCCTATTGGAGATGGGCAAACAGCTGCATTGCTGACAGGTGCTACAAACAATGGGCGGTGCAGTAAACTTGCACTCCAGTCTCACGCTTTAGGGTTCACGATACTTATGGAATGTGCCTCTAGAGTCTTTACTTGAATTTGAAAGACTGTTTAATGGAACATCAGTAGAGGCGGTCTTGTCTCTTGTCCTTTTCTCCTGCTCCTTTTCTTCCTGCCATCGCCTTTTGACCCTTAACATCCCATCAACGTTCCGCGAAGAGCTGAGGATCAATGACCTTGCTCATGAGTGATTGGTCTTTACGGCTGTGCAGACACTGACCACTAAATGATATATCGACATCAGATCATCCTGCTACTGGTGATGCTGCGGTTACCCTCGCCTTGGACTTTAGGGCTCTATACAATTAAACTGTTATCGTATGTCGTTAAAACTAGCTGATCAGTGTCTATGTACACCCAATAACTGCTCTGAGTGTCATTGTGCAAAATGCTATATGCAGTGTCGTGTGGCACCTCTGTTATAAGTGCCAAACAAATAGTCTTATTTAATGCGAATCTGGTAACCGTTATTTGTCTTCGGTATGGCACAAATAAGTGTCGCGGAACAAAGTCATCAGTAGTAAACCCACTACTAATATGGATTGCTTTTTTCTCATAGCTGACCGCAGCCTTTATTGCCCCTAAAAAAAATGAGAATATTTTTCTGTTCTTTATGCGGCTATTGTAATACGCGAACGTCGGCCAGGTCCCTAGAATGTAGAAGCAGTCGATTAGAAGAGGTTTTTATAGTGGTACACTTGTAGAGGTGGCCGATCTTTACTGCACCTATTTATTACCACCCTCGGCGCGGTTTTGTCACTGCTTCAAATCCATCTTAGTAATTTTTCACCGTCGAGTAAACGTTCTTAAATGACTTAATTTGATTATTTAGTTTCGACGTACCGCTAATATGTCCCGACCTGATTTTTTAGATATTGATCCCATCGAATACTACTAGTGATTGTTTACGAGCAGGTGCTTCAGGCTATACGGAGACAACTGTAGATCCTTAGATACTATACGCATATTGAAGACGGCTTTTTAAAAGCGAGAGAACAGTATTATGACGAGTTGTAGAGCTATTTATTTATAGAGGCAATCGAAAAATATATGAGAAAACCGTATTCACGTTATTATCACTACTATTATTATTCTTTGCATATGATCTATTGCCAAGACGAGCTTCTTTTCGCCTTCATTGCAGACTCCCGAGGTGGCGGTCCTTTAATCATTCCAAGCAGACATTCACGCACACAAACATATATACAGACGTACATACGCCTACGAGCTTGCCTAGACGGCAACGAAGATTGTGACAAACAGACCTTAAAAACATATGATCGCTTGCAAAAAAAGGGGTGTGGGAGCGGGAGGGGGTGTGGGGTGGGGGGCGAACATTGCGCAAGGCCGATGGAAAAGAAAAACGAAACAAGATCGAACTGAGTTTACTGGCTGCCATTGAATGGAATAGCTGATGCAGTTGGTATTTTTAAATATGTTACTACGAAAGCCGAAGTCAGCTGCACCCTACATTGAAAGTGAATATATATATATATATATATCAAGATGAAAATAGAATCCGTCGGTAGCATCAGTAGGTAGTGACCGTGGTCAGCAAAATCAATTTAGCAACTATACAGGGCAATAATTCTCTATCGCTTAGACGGTGGAAAGTAAGGTGTCGTAAATGATCATTGCAATGTGTACCAGAAAGCTGTCATGATACTGACGTAAGAACGACGGTAAGAATGAAAATAGTTGATTGTTTATAATGGTCATAATTAAGGTATGACCTGTTTAAGAAGAAGACGAGGAGGTAGCCTCGCCCGCTTCTTTTGCACCACTTCTATTGACTGGTCAAACGGTTGGTTGGCCACTACGTACTTTGGCCACGTTGTCCTTATACCTTGTACATAACCTGAGCCAACCTAGCCATTCGCAAATCATATATATAACCCACAACTATAACGCCACTGAAGAGTGCTAACAACTAACGTTTTCGTACGAAATGTCAATACTAGCAATTAATTTGAATGCTCTATTTCACAAATCTTATTGCTCTTCAAGTTAGTCATTATTCTTGTGGATATCAGCAACCAGTAACAGAATAGAAAACTAAGAAATGGATAATGCCAATGGCTAAAATCGACAGAAGAAGCTCGACCAGCGTCAAAGCTCTTCTTGCAACAATTTTGCGACGACGTTCACATCTAATGATAAGATAAGTGATAGAGATAAGTGTGCCTGCATGGCCAAAACGAATTATCGATAGCGAACTCGGGTTCATTACAAGCGGCCTACTGCGGCCATCTACTTCGATCTACTTACCATCAGTTGTTCTAAATCTATACGCACGAATGGCAATATATATAGCGTTACCGCTTGCCACAGATGGCGTTAAGTTACCTATTTTCTTACTAAGACATCTCATATTATAATACTGTTGTTACCACAAAGCGTGCACGTTTTCCAAAGGCGAAATTTTTCCTCTTTGAGAACTGTTTCATTCAATATGATATCAAGGGCTATATTTCAGAAGCTCTTGCTAGCGAGCAAGATATCATTAGTCGCAATGAAAAACGTTGGTTAGTCAATGTGTTCCATGGTAGAGTTGTCATAAAATAGCTCATGTACGTGACACCTAGCTAGCTCGTGCAAACAGTGGACTCCGTTACTTTTCTCTGATAAACAAAATGCGGAGGTCTCGTGTACACCTAGGATTCTGCAAGCAATAAATCCTGCGACGCAGCAGTATTGCAGTGCGGCAGGCTCGCCATCGACCGACCCATACATAGGACACATTTGGGAAAACGGAACAAATTACGGATGTCTAACAGTCAATCAGCAATTGACAACAACCGAAGACGGACTCAGCCAGAATAAGCAATTACAACAACGTACTTACATGGTGCGCATGAAGTTGCCGCTCCGTTGCTGCTGCGACTTCAGTCCTTCCATTGACGCGGTCAGTGACTCGGTCAATCGTTGTTGGTGTCGATGTTTTGTCGTCTCGCTGTTTTATTAAATCTTCTTTTTTTTCACGTAACGATAATATATGAGATGCGTCCGTACACATCAGTCAATTTAACCTTGACACAATGGATGATGGTTGAATATTGAGTAGTCGGTGCAAGGTATCAGTCTCGCACCTGATCTTATGCCCAACAAGTAATCGATGTTACTAAATTGAGAAACAAAGTTAAGTAAACGCTTGCGCCTGTCGTACGTCCGTATGCGCTACTATGCACCTCCAACAACAACAACAAAAAAATTAAACGATGATAAATAGAGTAATCAATCCAATCCTATCCTAAAAAAAGAAAAAAAAAAACATAGTATGCGCCTGATAATCCTATCAAGCAAACTCGAACAGCTGCTTCGATGAAAACCCTCCAACCACATTCACTCTAGTCCACTCCAACCCAAGCAATAAGAGGCAAACTGGGCAGGAGATAATCACTTACCACACCACCGTACATCGTACATTGCACGTCGATGATATGTGTAACTGTGTGTCGTCAAAAGAAGCTTAACTGGATGAAGCGGTTCCGGTGGCAGGCTCATTACTAGGGAGCGGCATATTCCGCTCGTTCATCCCGAATATTGTCCACCGGCATCGGTTCTCCACCCACGCGCAGGCAATGCAGCAAAAACTGAACTCACGAGTGTCTTCTGCATCCTCGGCATCAGTAATCAACTTGCCAGCGCTCAACTTCAGCAGAGCCGTGGTCAGTTCATCGGACGTTCTAGCACCGGATCGTTCTGTTTAGAACACGAAGACAGTTACTAATACAATTAGTTTGCTGCCTGAATGATTGATTGGTGATTACAACAGCAACAACAAGTACTACTACAAATCTAGTTGGATTGCAACGACTTGAAAGCTTGCTTTCCGGTCTGTCATGCTATATCTCTATTTTTCAGTAGTATGCCCACGATGATTTCTGCCAGAGTTTTGCATTACGCCTCCGTTGTACCGGCCTTGTGACAGGAATGTGCAAAAATCTATAGTGACTGATCCGCCCACCCGCAAGACCCTCTCTTCGACATACGCTCGCTCGCTCGCTCTGTCTATCTATCTGTTTGCCCCACACAACGATTGGCTGCTCGCTGTTCCGGAGGTGGTTCCGAGGTCTCCTATTACTTCACCCCCCTGATGACTAGCACTGCCGCTATGCCCGTGCTATGAATTGGAGGGACTGTCTAAATTTCTTGAACGGTTTTTCACAAACTGGTACTCAAACTGGTCAATGGTAGTGCGCGGTAATATTAATAAAAATAATAACGAAAAATAAACACAAAGAAAAGAGACAATGAACGTTTTTCTTCACGTTGACGTCCGTTCAAGCTGCGCGTAATGAGCACCTCCAATAGATGGGTGTCCTTTCAAACGGATGAAACGAGATGGGATCGACCCGATGCAGTAGGGCACTTTTGAAGGGTCTAGGTGCGATGCTTCTGTATGCGCACTTGCCTCCGGGTGCGGTCTTGTCTCTTCTCATCATCTATTGAGAGAAGGTTCATTGGGCGCTGATCGGACTTTTGCAAAGCTCTAGCATAAATACCCGACCCACTTGTTCTTTTTCCTCTGCCGTCCTCCATATTACATTAGATGAAACCGCTACAGCCTTCTAGATTTGCGCTCTTGTGGCCCAAAGACGTTATTAAGATGCATTGCTGGTTGACTGATTGATTGACTGACTGACTGACTGACTGGTTGATGCCGTGATCGATTGATCTATACCAATTCATTGACCTTGATTTATGAATTCAATAACTGATTATGAATTGACTTAGTGGTGGCTCATTCTCTCAGTATGAACATATTACACTGATCGTCTTAAGCTGTATTAATTCCTACTCGTTTATTGACTCCGTATAATTAAGGATAGTTGCTAAAATTGTTGTTTTTTTCTTGCCATCGTTCGATTGATTTCCTCATTTATTGACTGATCTTCCCTCTTTGCTCATTTTTCGCACCTCGAATGTGACGTCTTCTATCAGCACCAACATTCTCTTCGTGATATTGCGTAAATATTATCGTTATATTACCATCGTCATTAAATTATAATTCGTGGCAACGGCAACACTCGACTATTGGCAACCGAACTGCTAAACGCTGCTTTGACTCTCTCAATCCCCCTCAAACCTTGGCCCTTCTGCCAGCACACACACACGCCTGCGACCTGCCAGTGCCTCCCGATTGCAGCTGCAGTTGTGGTTGAGTTGCGTATCAAGCCATCACAGGCCCCGTTGCCTGCCCCCTTAGCGTAACATCGACGACAAAGAAGTAGAATGCCCATCCGCGGGATCGTTCAGGTCAATCTATTGGCCGATAGTTGTTGCTGCCGCTGCTGCTGCCGCTGCTGCTGCTGCTGCTGCTGCTGCTGCTGCTGCTGCCACGTTGTTCACAATGGCTCTGATGATAGAAGTTCGCTAATATTACTACAATTAGCATATTATAGTTGAATATGTTCTACTATTGCTAGCATAGGTTTACCCAATGACCTTATTAAGTACTGTCTCCTGCATTTTTTAGACCCGCTGTCGTCTTATAGCGATTGTCCTTAGATGCAGTAGCATTTAGAGCATTGTTAATAATAAATTAGTACTATCACCTAAACGCGCATTACAATATCATTACTGCAGCTAGAATCTTACCGCTATCACTAATGTCATTAGCACTACTTATTCTTTCTCAATTAGTAATTACAGTTAAGACGCTATTTGTACTTTTTGCGTTTGAAATTCGCGCCTTGCATCTTTCGATGGGTCCCCCCCCCCCCCATATACAAAGGATATATAACAACGAAATAGAGTCAAGGTCCAAATAGTAAATGATTGATTCGCTCGCTTTGCTTACTATTGATTGATGAACTACGGATTGCTTAAAGAATGCCATGGACACTGTCGTTAAATTCGACTGTTGAATGTTTCACTAAAAGACAGAGAATATAAAAGAAAGAAAAAAAAAAAAAAAAAAACGAACAAAAGGTAGAACGTGAATAAGAAGAGACGTTGGGGTACGGTTCAATTAAAGCTTTTCCGTTATTTTTGACGCTAACGCGGTTTTTTTGACGCTGCATTCGGGTATAGGAGTTTAGCATCGAGTTCCATTCCGCGATAACCGTTCGGCTGCCTCGTCATATAACAGCTTAACTAGGATACTAGCATCACTTTGTTTGATGTCAATTTGAGCTGGTTTTCCTACGTAATATCTTTTCTCGACTACCTACATTGTGATTCCGTACCAAATTGGAGCGTTCGATTTGCCTAAAAAAGCCAGAAGGCTAGAGTATATCATGTGCTTCATTTCATTTCCCATAAATCGTTTCTGGTTCGGGTGTGATCGCTACGGGCCGTATCCCGCTGATGTATGAAAGTGAGGTTTTTGTTTTGTATGCTGCCGGCACACTCTTACTACAAATTCTGCCCAAGATCATTCTTCATTCTACAAAAGGCGTGTACTATTGCACCATGGATTGCCATACGACCTAATCAGAAATCATGACCAGTTGTTTGGTTCTATGCTACCGTCATGACATGATTATACGGTCTAATTTTCTTCGTCGTTGCGATCGAACCCTATCTATTCATGCTCGCTATTCGTTAGTAAACTATTGTGTTTGACTGACTGACTGACTAACTGACTGACTGACTGTTTGTCTGCTGGGAGTTACTACACTTCAGTGCACTTTAAACAGCTACGATGGTCGGTATAAGTGTATATAAAGACACACACACACACACACACACACACACACATACACACGCACGCACGCACGCACGCACGCGCACACACACACACACGCGCACACACACACACACACACGCACGCACGCACACGCACATACATATACACGTATTCGAAGTAAACCACCGTACCGGATTCTAAAAACTAAACTCTTATAACTGTCATGACTACACGTAGATGGAGTGGTACTTTCCCTTAAAGAGCAAGACAACTGAAAAGAACAGGAAAAACAAAGAAAGGAGGCATTGTTGTTGTGGTTGATGTAAAGTATCACAGTACCGCAGTTGCATGGCACCAAAACAGGCTTCATTCCACACCAGGTTCACCACATATGTCCAATGCGAAATCGATTTATATATATATATATATATATATATATATATATATATATATATAGTTGATTGAGCTAGATAACTGTAACAAATTCGATTCCTCATTCAAATTGCCCGTGATTATCGTTGTCATTCATTACTACTATAATTTACGGTACTTTTTCATTGCATACGACGATTATCTATAAAATGGTACATTGTAATATTTCATTTTTATGCTTTTTAACGTAGATAAGCCGATGTGTCAGCCAGCGTCAAATAGTACAATAGACCCGATGACGCCTTGTTGACATAGTCTTGGTGTAGCTTCGCTCACTGATTGATTTGATTACTAATAGAAAGTTCTATTTTTAGCACAGTTTTTATTAGGTGTTATCCATTAGAATAGTTTTAATACAAGCGGAAACGGCCGTCACCATTGTGAACTTATTTTATACGGTTAGTGTTTTTACCACTGATTATAGATTAGTCAGATTAGTATGTTGTTGCCGTTGAGATTACGATTGCCGCTACTGATCATTTTGGTAAGCATCTAACTGGTAGCAAATACGCCCTGCGGGCCCAGGCGCGCCACGGCATCTCATCAACGGAGAATCTATAAGATTCACTATGTTGGGCTTTTCCGGGCTATCCATTTAGTTCAATTCCATTTCTCGATGTTTCTGTTGTTCATTTTGAGCTCCCATTATCAAGCTCGGCTTTGAGCGCTTTCTTATGTTTAAGTTCTGCGATTTTTTGCAATACAGCGTTTTTAGATCAAGTGATTAATTCATAGTTTGAGCCAACAGCCTTTTTGGTAATCCGTCAACGGACTCGATAATATATACGATAGACGTATATATGGAGATACATCTTAGACTAGCTGCAGGCTTTTTTATTTTGCTCAAGCGATATTTACGTCAATTTAGTAAGTCACTCGATATTATATATGTGTATATATAATTCTTGCTTCTGTATCTAAACGGTTTACGATTAAATCTAGTTAGGACTGCATATCAGTGCAATCAAACATCAATTACTATGATAGCAGTTACTATATATATCTGATACCAACTGATATGAATCTGATCTGATCTGATATCTGTCTAAACTGCCATGCTGAAGGAATGGCAATGCCTTTTGGCCTGTATCGAACCCTGTAAATTGCTTCATCAGTTCGCTATGTTGTTTGACATCTGGCACATCTGTCTGGTATCTGGTTATCCATCCAGAAATCAAAGATGGCGGTAACCATGATGATGATGATGTTGATGGTGATGATGTTGATGGTGATGATGATGATGGTGATGATGATGATGATGATGGTGTTGATGACGGTGATGATGATGGCGATGATGATGATGATTATGGTTTTATTTATTTCTAGCGTTTTAACCCTTATTAGCTTGTATTCGGGTTAAGGAATGGATTCAGTGAGTCAGTTCTATTTGGTTTTAAGTCTTGATTGAGACACATTGTTTTATTGGTGAAATGATCTTTAGTCTTAAGGTGAGTCCTACTTATCTCTACGATACGTGCTTCATACGTATGAACGTATCTCAACCTACATGAACAACAGCCAAGCTATTTCTCTTCACTTTGTTTGGTTAAGTTGACTCTAGTGGATCTTATAGGTTCTCAGTTGCTGTCTGCCGCTTAATGCTATCTTTTACAAGTGCTTGCTAACGTGGTGTTTTGTCCTATGTCCTTTATCTTTGGGGGCTGGGGCGATACATCAACAGACCTTCACGTGGGGCTCGGGCCCCGTCGAGGAGCTGCACGCGCACTCTTCGCTCGTCGAGGATGGCTCTTCGGGCTCTCTGTCCCAGGATGTCAAGAGGACCGGACAGATTCTGTGGATTCGTGGCCTTACGCGTCTCCAAACACAGGTAGGTGGCTTTGATTTTAACCTTCTTCAACCTTCTCCTATACAGCACCGCCCGAATCGGGAGATCCTTTTCTCATCACAAACACTCCTTAAGTCCCAAATTATCCCCAATACCACTCTAACCAACGTCCGGTAGATAATAAGCAACAATTGTTATCCATTGACCTTGTTAAGCGTTCAGTGAAACCACGAGACCATGATAGCATCATCCTCAGTGTTTTGATACAGGTCGAACAACCGACTAGGCGTCTCAGGCACTTATAATTTCTGTATATATACCAAGAGACGACTCGCCGGGATCGTTCACCTATTACTTTCGTTTTCACAACTGACGATTCTTTGGGGCCACGATTTTGTTTGCGACTATTTCCCAGCAACAATAGCCAACCAAGTACCTTTCATACCATCCCGCCCGGGGTATCATCGATTTCGTGTAACGGCTTCAAGTCAACAATGAGAACTATGCCGTACGTAACATCTTCATAAAAATTCCTCTGAGTCTCGCTTTCTCTCGCTATTTAGCGGTGGCTTTAGAGTCAAGATCTGTCCTGTTGTGCTTCGTTTTTACCTATATAGAGGTTTGTCTTTACCTTTAAAGACGTCTACTTTGAGGTAATAGTAAATGATATGGCATATATCAAATTACTGCAGGGAAGTTATTAGATGAAGCCAAAGGATCCAGGACATCATCAGAAAGTATATTTTGCAACTAAAAAAATATATTTTTCGGCTTTTTCTCTCTAACCATATATATATATACCTAATGATGTAAACGACTACATTTCTCTATACGTGTACAAGAATCACGAATTCTGTCGTTCCTCGTTCGTAGCGTTGCGATGTTTCCCGGGCGGGTTAAGTACATCCACCTTTCAAATCCTACTGAGTGAATTATGTATCATCAGTATGTTACTAATAACTGTTGTTACTGTTATCAATTATTACCGTTTAACAACCAACCATCTTAATTACCAACGAATAAAATCCCCTTAAACGAATTCGATCCCCGTTTGCACTCTTAGACTAGTATCGCTGCACATATGTGTATTTTTTCGACAAACCACCGTATGTATTATACATACATAATATATACAATATTTATCTATGATTAAATGCCAGCCCGATTACATTTTTGGGCGTCGATACATTTTTTTTCTTCGCGATCGATCATAGCTTACTGTAGTCTGGTAACCCACAAATGAAACACCATGTGCAGAAAGACAATTTCGAATTTTAGTGAACCAGCGAGTCTAAAACCGTGTGCTTTGAGCGTTTCCTCTATACCTTTGCACTACACTCCTAAATTACTAATTGTTTGAATACAAAATCGAGAACACAAAACAACTAAAGCGTAGGAAGTTAGAGAGAATGTGTGTTCAGTCTTGCACAGGTCAGATCACGACAGAATCTGATCTGTCCACTAGTCATTTTGTCCACTTGGCACGGGAATGCTTCTATATAGTATTACTACTGCGTATATTCCTCACTAGCGGATTTCGCGACAAGCTAGCGCTGTTGTCCATTATCTAAACATGACGCTGGTACAAACCATCTGACGACGCACACATAATCAATGTTCCTTTTTGAAATATATTTTCACCATGGTGCCAAATATTGGCAAGTACAGCGGTAGAACCGCAGTGAATTTATCTGTTGACTGATCGACTTAAATGATTGGAAAACGATCTATCAGTCAACATAGCATATGGGGTATAAAAATGTACCAGGGCAAAAATCCAGGGTTTTTCGTCATAAATGAGAATATATAATTATATCATTTTAGTTAGTTAAACAATCCCAATAATGATCGCGATTTTTCTCGCGCCGGAATAAACGTTAGTTCATTCTGGTGCCGCTGTATCTATTGTGTCTTGGTTGGTTAACGAAAAAGCACAACTGATCATAGAAAAGTATTAATTAATACCTAATGTACTATCGCACGCGCGAAAGTACAATAGGTATTATTTAGTATTATCATTGTAAACAATTGTTGGCACGGGCTGAGCAGTGAGGTACGAAACCATATTGGTCAATTGACTGATTATCTAAGTGATTGATTGATAAATGATTAGGCCGTACTGGACAATGCGAGCATTTTCTGTTGATTGTTCATACAGCTGTTTAATTAAATGCATATATTTTTATAAGTTATGCCTTTTTCGCCAATCATTGACGCAGCTCTGTGTGCGCTCCTAGCACCTAGTTCGGCGCAATGGCTGCACTCGATTGGTAGCACCTGTTCAAAGCCCGTTCATTACTTGACGTCTATCTATTGATGAGCTATCTTTTACTATATAAAATAGCCACATTTCTATATACATATACATATATACTCTTAAAGTTACTAATTGTCTGACGAATACGAGCGACAACACAACAAAAAGTAAAGCATACGAACACAGGGATAATGTGTGCCCAGACTCGTACAAATCAGGTCACGATAGAATCTGATTTATCTGCTAATCATTCTGTTCACTTGGCACGGGAATGCTTCTGAATAGTATTACTATTATGTGTATTCCTCATTGGCGAGTTTCACTACAGACTAGCGCTATTGTCGGTCCGTAAAAGGGACGCTATATATATAAATGTCTGCCCGCCTATGAGCAAACGCTTATCGACAACCTTTGAGATGCCATCGATCGCGTTGGCGTCTGTGTCAATAACATCGTTGCTACTATCTCCTCAGCAGCCGTCTCTCTCTTTTTCATCTCTCGCTTTCTCTCTCAGATGTATATATTTATATAACGGACACAAGTCAGACGTATGTGTTATCGGCAAATATACATCAATAAACAGAATTGATGCACTTGATCAATTAATGGGTCACCTTTTATTCATTCACACTTTTTTCTCCGCTTTTTTTATTATGATTTTTCCCCGTGTTTGATTCGTGCGCCCGGGATTAATATGCCATTCGTCATTTTTTTCGCTCAGTGTTTGTAATACGAAATAAATTGATTACTTAGCTACTACTATTGCTGTTATCTTGATAGGTAGATTTTTTTTTAACTTAACAGTTAAATGCAAGTCTTCTCATCAAATATTTCTACAGTTTTTGCTTGGTAAACTGGTGCCTGGGCTACCGGTGCTCGGTGGTAATTTGTCGAAATAAGCTGGACTCATTCATGACTGATCATAATGGTGATGACGATGGCGACGATGGTGATTGATAATAATGATTATGACGGTGATGGTGACTGATGATAGGCACTTAACTTCTAATTCATTCACCCGGAGCTTTTTCTGTGATCCACTACAGTGACTGATTGGGTTGATTAAAAGTTACGGCAACTTGCCCTGTAGCATGTCTCGTCTGCTCTTTATAGGGTATAAGTAGTATATGTTACTAATCACATATTGGCACACGACAACGCGATGATCCTTTTATGACTTATAATAGTGGCATACTTTTACCATGATCTTATTGCTATCATCTATATAGACCAAAGAAGCTCTCGCGTTTGCGACCCTCCTTATTACCGTCTTACCAAGAATCTACTCAAAAATTTGGAACCGGTAGAGACAAATGCGTTTGCTGAGTTAGTGTACCCGTAAGCATAAACTGACAATTTATGATGGTTTTTGAATCATTTGAGCTCATGCACTATTTTGTCAATTTGGTAGTCGATAGCTTGTCCTTACAAATCACTTGAGCGCAACTCAGCTATGGATTAACGGTTTGATGAAAAAAACAAAAATTATGGACCGAATGCTTCTTCGTTTTGAGGCACAGTAAAGGTGTCTACGGTAATTAATAGCCACTGCAGTAATTACACATTTATTGGGTGGTATGACCCGCGAGTAGTACGGTCGTCTAATTGTACAGTAAGCGAATTAGCGAAAACACATTTCTTGGTTTTATGTTGCCGTTGACGTTGTGCGATCTATCAACGATATCTATACGTATGACAATTACTTACAATCAACGACTTGTCTCTTGTCACTCTCGAAGGCACTAGAGGGCTCAACTTCAGATCCCATCAGAATATAAACTCTTCATTCACCACGCCCGTTTCACCAACAGTCAGCCTCTTTCTGAACCTGAGACCCAAGACGAAGTAAGTCACAAATGCAAGTTTCATCCGATGCTGCTGCTGCTGCTGCTGCTGCCAAAGAACGCAACTGCGAACTGCTCTACTTTGTTAGTCGCACGGACGATGAACGCCTGCCGTCATCTAATCTCTTGGCGTTGTTATCGCCGTCGATCTAACGGTTACCCTCCCATCCATCAGTCATCCATTGTCCCGGTAGCGTAAACCGGCGACCCTTTAGTGAGAGAGCGCCAGTCAGACACGTGCGCCTTGTCACGCATGCGGCGGCTATTCACGCGCGTGCATTACCCTCCTACGCGACTGCATCCTGTGCCTCGTGAACTTTACATTTTGGTATCTGCTCTGCTCTCTGAATCGTGACGATGCCTGATCGTCTTGTCTATTTTCGAAGATGAATGAAAACGACGACCAGTCAATAATTTCATTGATAGCGACCGATCCGATGACTACACAATCAATTATTCCAAACACTCATGCAAATATTCAACACTCACAGACATACTCAGCCCTTTATGAGAGCATACCTCGGGCTGACACGTGCTAGTAGGCCCTTATCAACACCATCACCTATACCCAGTATTCATGCAACATCTTCTACTATTATCCTTGACGTGATCTTAAAACCATTGAGTCTCCATGAATAAGCGCACAATGGGCCGTCCTTTTCCAGCTCTCCTCTGATGTGGCTAGGTTTGCCTGGCTGTGTTTTACTACGCTGACCATCTGTTCAAATATACAGTACTACCTGCTGGCAGACACGTTAGCAGTGTGCATTCTAACGGCCAGAACCATCCGGTGAAGTCGCTTCGCTTCTGACTAGCTACGTTTCGTTAGAGTCGGTTCATACGTTACGAGTGATATACAGCCGCGAACATACATACAAATACGTACACACACATGCACGCTTAGGTATATTAATAAAAATGCAGTCGCAATATTTTCTATCCGCAATCTTCTCCCCTCATCGCTTACCTGTCGTCTATGTCTCGACCTTTTTAGCTTGCCTATTTTGAACCTGTTTTTCCCTTGAGCGTCGTATAGGCTCAATGACGGCCTCTGCATGCGGACTCAAGTCACCGTGTCGATATCTTTATATTTGTAAAAACGGCTATTTGAAACATTCGGCAAATCACTGTTTCTCTTGGCTCACACGTGCGTAGACAACAAAATAGAAACCGGACCAAAAATGGCCAATTATAACGTTTATGTAGCTTCTCGTTATCGTATTAGCTAAACGTAAAGCGGATTATCGAATCGGAATCAAATTCTATCCGCGCATCCGTAGTTACTATGTGTTAGTTAAGTGAAATGGACATGTGATACGTAACACAGCAAGTAAGGAGAACGATTTGTTTGCGCTTCGTACTATTTCAATATTTATCCATTACATTTCTATATGCGTGAACCTTTCTTTATCTCGTTGATTCGAACGCATTTATTGCACAACAAGCGTTGTTTCTCCGTGGGTAACCAGTCGGCTTCTGTGTTATCGCCTACGCCTGATAACGTTATCTTACATTTCTATTCTCACTATTAGTAGGTCAACGACGAAACCGCGTGAAGTATTCGGTAATCATACGTATTATTCGTTACATTTTAAAATAGTATAAATGTTGATATGACTATGGTAGAACAGGACAAACTTTATAGTCGTATGATTTTATGTGCGATAAATTAGTTCTTTGTATTAAAGCGTATTGTTTATGAAGGACGTTGTTAAAACGATCTTAAACGTTAAGTGGGTGACCTGGGCCAATGGGTGGCAAGGTAGTGTTTGTAAGTTGGTCTAAGTAGTTTCTAATACATCGACACAAGTGGCGGGGCTAGAGACAATGGTCATATCACGTACCCCAGCTAGGGCATACAGACCGATATTATCGAAAGTGGACAATGCCTCGTTTATTATTATGCTTCGATACAAGACAGGTTTTTATTTATATTTCGCAATATAATACTTCCCAGTGTCCAGTCATATCTATAACTGTGTTAGCCGTTATCGGCGTATCTTGACCTAAACACGTACGGCGGCAGTTTACAATTGAAGTATTCACACTGATACAGGCGTGTTAATGTGACTCTTGCTGAGACTATTTCCTATCGGTATTTTACTCAGGAATAGACAAGAATGATACCATCTACGTCTGATAGCATTTGTGCCTGCCGCATGGCCAGTACTTTCCACGCCGTGAACGTCGCCGATATAACCGACGACGAAGACTCTATAGGACTATCAGATCTCTTATAATAGTCACACGCACGAATAACTATAGCAATACACGTGCAAAAACATACTCAATCTTACAGTCGATTACCTCCTAAGCAACCCCTCTGTTAAAACTACTGTGTTGCCGTTTACCGCCGTACTATTGCAAAATTTAGTGTCGGCAGCTATTCAAACAGAGGCTCTCCGCCGAGTATATGTACTTTTTAATTGAATTAGTGCTTTCAGCGTCTAGTGATTTTTATCAGATTAGTACCATAGCATACCAAGGCACATAGAGACTCTACCGCAGAGCATACTGGACGTATATCACACACGCATGTCACTAATGTTTAAAGACGCAGGTACAAACCGAAAAATAGCTACGGTGTATCGCACTATCGTTATAAAAACGTACGTAAGGTCTGCACGCAGCACAGAGCAAAGATCATTTGCGCATTATTCTGTGTTACCTGCACGTACGCCCTACGGAACCGTGTCGACACCTATAAACCGACGCAAGCACACGTTATTAAGGGAGCGACATGCCTGTAGTATAAATATAAAGCAAAAAAATTCGATCGTAGTGTATTACGGCACAGTACTGCAAGCACAGCTGCTCTGGATTGTTTCATACGATCGATTATTACTCATATAATTCACTCTGCTCTCGACCAAGTTCCATTTTTAATTATTCAAAAAAAGATTTATTTTTACTATTACACTATGTATTGCAGTAGAGATGTACAGTACTTCGAAACTCGGGGTTAATCACTACGGGGGTAGCATTACTCTCAATGTACCGTGGGGCAATTATATTCGTGTTACAGCTTAAAACTGAATGTCATGAAAGGTCTCAATTTTGGCAGACATCGTTTAAAGCCGAAGTTTTGTGCCATTTGAAATTAGCTAAGTAAAGGTCAGTTCAAAAATAGAAAATGTATTTCCGGCGTGTATTTTTAGCACTGAAGTGGAATTGCTAAGCATGTTTGCTATAAGATTGTGTTGCATATTTGCGGTGTGCCACGTGTGCACAACAACTCAACACATGTGAGCAAAAAAAGGGGGTAGTAGACAGAAATTCAGGTCAAGTAGGACTGGAAGGTCCCGACTAGACACGTGCAAACAAACTAACGCGATGTTGTACTTGCAGATTTGTTAATAATGCTATCCGTATATATAATCGTTCCTATTCTAACACAGGTTATGTAAAAATTTGACTTTCCTTGTATATTCATTATCTGTGAAAGGCCTAGTAAAGCAGTGAGTATAGGTGAAGCATATCTATTCTTTGATATAGGCTGGCAGCTTTCTAGGTCTCGGAAAGTCGCTTGGCGTCTAGTTTGGATTTTTTTTCAGTAGACGCACGCATAGACCGAGAGGAGCCTGCCTGCTGTGTTGGATTCAAAGCAAGTGTAACTTGCTGCCTACCGAATAATTCAATTTGCCCATGATGATAATCATCATGAATAAACCCCGAATTTGCTAAAGAAAACCCAGTCCAGCTTGGATGTCGCATGTTGTCATAATCAATGTCGCTATAAATGGCGACCATAAGCCATGAGCTAAGTTCGACACTGATAGAAAATACGATTACGTGGGCCTGGACTATACTATTGATGTGATATGACTTACGTTTTGTCATGTTGGAATCACATTCAATCTGGATGGTTTATTCGATTTGTTCGACTTTAACAAGTTCAACTATCTGTCGTGTTTGTACATAGTCGACAGATGTTTTCAGCGACCGAATTTTAATGCTAAAAAAAAGAGACGTCGTATATACATATATATATAATTTACTCGTAGATTCATTATTGCCATTTGCTTTGTTCGACTGACTTCGAATGAGCAAACTGCCGAGTCTCTTTTGAACGTACATCTTTTCAAGCAGCAACATACGCTTTTAGGTAAAATCTGACAAAATCAACAAGCTGCCGCCATCTTTACACAAATTTCAACTCGTAGCGCTACTAATGTTAATATTGTTGCGTTATTAGAAAAGAATATTTCGCTTACTATAATGCCCCATGTGTAATTTTTTGACGTTTTACCCAGTTGTACTTAGATGTATATACATATATATGTATGTATGTATGTATATATATATGGTCGTTTCACTATTTGTACAGATTTTGTTGCTGTCTTTGACGTTCAATTGTTGACTTAGTTTTTTGACATTTTTCTAGTGTTATTGACAGCACGAAAAACAAAATGTTGACGTTCAATCGTTTTCTCCTAAACTTACTTCCACCCTGGACTAATCTTCGATTGGAGTGGTCTTACGAAAACTAACGAATGCCGTTGTTACGATTTGGTTGAATGTGATAAGTACACGCCATCTTTGTCTGATGATGTAATATGAATTTGGCAATCGTCTCCGTGGTCCTTATTAATGTCGGGTTGCAAGGAGACCGCCTACCGCAGTCACTGACGTGATTACCAAAACACTGTGACTCTATTATGCTCTTGTTTCTTTAACCTAACTGCTTGTTCCTGCCTGAAACTGTGAGGACTGACGGTGGATTAATAGACCTACTGACCAAGCAATTGACCGATTGATTCGACAGAAATTAACTTAGCGTGGTAACTGGTGGCCACTTGCGTGTTTCTTACCCCATTGTGTGAAAACACTTGTGTGCAATGCAGTACAACAGATACCCTCATAATAACCGTTGTCCGGCGGCTGTCGCCTTCCTGAAAAGCCCCAAAGCCGATAAACAGACCGATTGGCTACTTGCAGAACTTTAGGCGGAGA